AAACCCCGAAAAAAAAAAAAAAAAAAAAAAAATTAAAGGTTAAAAAAAAAAGGCTGGGGATTTAGCTAAATGTGAGGGTTCCTGGTTCAATCCCTACCACCACCACCCCCATACTGTTCCATCACAGAAGGTACTCTTGAGTTGCAGTACATAGGGTGCGTGTGCGTGTGCGTGTGCATGAGACGTGAGGCCCTTGGGGACTTTGGCTTTCATTCTTACCTTCCATGGCAGCCTGCCCACAGCCCGGCAGGTGCAGTGAGGGAGCAAGCAGACTGGTTGGGCCCAGGTCCCCACCCCGGTGCTGTGGGTTTCCCCTGTGCCTCCCGGGTGTGTGAGGCTCTGTCCCTGCGGTCGGGGCTGTGGGACTCACTGGTGGATAGCCTGCAGGAACTTCCTCTGGTGCTTCCTGACCTTGGCGTGGTCCATCTTCTTCAGCAGCTTTGTGTGTTTGTAGATCAGCCACGTTTCCCGGAGGACATTGGCCGCGGCGTTCTTGATCTAAGGAGGAAAACAAAGCACGCGGCTGTCAGGGGCATTTTCCTGGGTCTACCACACTGTTTCCTGTGTGTTGCTGTAGTCTACCTCCTAAGAAGACAATTCTGCGTGGTCTACTTTCTTAACCAAGATCAGGAACTCTGAGAAAAGATGATTACAGTTCACCTCTCATTAATCTCGCCCTGGACACAGCAGACTAGAGCTTGGTTGGCATTTCTTCTTGCCTTCTTAATTATTTCAGTGCTGCCTCTCACCTGCTGTCGCCGATGCTATATTTAGACAGGTGCCTAGCGAGGCCTGGAGGCCAGGGTACCTTCTGCAGAGATAAATACGCGCCCCCTCCACCCTTGCAGCAGGTGCCACACCTCTCCTGAGACTTCCTTTTAGTGTGCTGGTGCATCTCTGTGTGCAGTGAGTAAACAGCTTTCCTATGAGCTGGAGGTTTTAAAAGGCCTCTGAGGAAATATCTTTCCCACTGACTGGAACTGCAGGTGCCAAGTCCACTGCGTCCTTTCCAAAATGGCCAAAAACGTTTACAATGCTGTTCCGCATGTAAATGTCATTGGCATAGAAGTGAAATGATTTCAAAGCACTGTCTAAAAATCAGCGAGGATACCGAGGTGTGAACCAAGAGCTGCCTCCCCCAAGGCTGGCTCCTCCACCGCACACGGCAGCCACACGTTTCCACATATGACGCTGTCATCCGTTGACATGGAAACCACTGATATCACCCTGCTCTCAACTGAGCCAGACATATCAATGGCATCCAGATGGCAGGGGACAAAGTTTTAATCCAAACACAGACATCTTCAGCAATTAGTAGCGAGAGCAAGAGAAAACATTCCTTATTGAGCAAAGGCTCGACAGATTTTTGATTAACCATCTCCGTTTCTGTCAGCTGTGCACCGGCACAGGCCCACGGCGAGGCCTGGAAGTGAGAGGCCAGCCCAGGGGAACTCAGGTTACCGGCCGGAAAGGGTTTTAATAAAACCGGAGCGCACAGACCTGCCTCTTCAGACTGACATCAACAGATGGGACGCCGCAAAAATGCAGAGGTGGCAAGGCCTAGCAAACATTGTTTTTCAACCTGATAACTTGTGTGTGTGTTTCAAAAATTTATTACTAAGGCTGGATTATATTTTTTCATTGGCGCTCTGAAGTGATGTTTTTAAAAGAACAGCTAAGTCTTCTAAAAAATGTCTAAGTGACATAAATATTGCTTATTTTGTTCAGTAAAAATCCACTGCACAAATGGTTTCTAGTGATTCAACTGCCCATCTCTAGGACTTTCCCACCTTTGGGGGAGCAGGCAGCGGGGAGCAGAGGCTGGGGACCGGGCTTGGGCGAGAGGGGAGGCCAGGCTGGAGCCCGCGTGACTCTGTCCTCTGCAGGGCAGCGGTGGCGCCACACCGATCTCTACAGCCTCCCCCGGGGCTCCGTGTCTGCGGAAAGCCACCAGGATGAGCAGGAGCAGAGAGCTTGTCCTGGCCTGGGTAAGACCGGCAGAGCGCCGGCACTGGACTTGCCTCTGAACGCTGAGGGCCACAGATATCAGCACTCGTGAGCCTTCGACTGTGGTTTAGGTGAGTGTGGGACAAACAGTGGGAGCAGGGAAGGGAGATGGTCATTGAGCAGTTTAGAAGCCGATGCTTAATTATGCACAAGATGACAAATACGTCCTCACTGTCAGCGCTCCAAGGGGACTGTAGAACTGGTGGTGAGCACAGTGCTGGCTTCTGCCAGGTGCCACGTACAAGTCAGGCCCAAGAATGTCCCATGCATGCTCCCTGGACTCGTTCCCATTTTACAGACAGAGAAACTGAGTCACACAGCAAGGCCACACAGTTACGACTGGCCAGGGCAGTAGTGTGGGTTGGACTCCTACAGGAACTGTAAGTGGCCAGCAGGCACAGTCATTACCATTCAACTCGCCCGCTTCAGAGATGGGATTTGGGGCTGGATCACAGCTAACTAACGGCCACATCAAAACGCGAGCCAGGTCCAAGCGCTCCAGAAGGTTTCCATGTGGCCTGAAGGAAGACTTGACCAGATTTCATTTTCAGAAACAAAATTATTTCCTGTTTGGGGGATCAAGGAATTGGAAAGGACGTTAGATTTTGTTTTTGTTTTAAATCATCACAGCCCTTGCCTAGCAACACAGAAGAACATGGGGTCTGTGTTCCTCACTTAACTTGGGCCCCAGCGCCAGATGCCGCGGCCACAGTGCAGCGGCAGCAAGAGACGGCCCCGTGCGTCCGGGTGAGCACTGCTAAATGCAAGCCTGTGCTGACTGAAATTAATTTCCAGTAAATAGCCTGGCACAAAGCTAAGTAGATCAATATCTGCACGAGAAAAAAGAAATAGGCTTTTAGTTACACTATGCTTTCACAGGTAGGCAGTAAATGCTACTGTGTGCAGCCGGGTCTGCTCCAGTTCGCCTGGCTGATGGCTCCGAGCAGCATGGTGGGACCTCCCGGGCAGGACCTGCCGCTCGTGCCCTTTTCTGAAGGGGCCACGGGCACGCTGAGCTCCCCGGGCAGGGGCACTGGGCCAGGTGATATCCCCACGATGTGGGGTGAGGCAGTGCTCGAGATGGGTTTGGGTTTGGTCAGTTACTTAAGGACAGTTAATTAAGGTCCCTATGTGCATACAGGGTCAGCTTTCTGGCCTCAAAACCCTCAAAAAACATATGTGCTGCCTCACTACTGTGAGTCCATAAACTCTCTCCTCTCCAGATTGACCCTTTTATTCTGACTTGGCTGGGGGTGGCTCCGTGACCTGCCGACTTCAGGAAGGGCTCAGAGATTAGTGGGCCCACGTGAGAAAGGATCCAGCCAAGACCTCAACTGACAGCTGACTCTCCCTGAGCACTTACAAAGTGCCAGGCTCCGGTCTGCGTCCTTTCATTACCCCCAAACTGGATGAACAGACAGACTTATCAGCTCCTCTCAGTCCGTGGCTGAGCTCTGAGACTCACTTTCCTCATCCATTCGTGTAGCCACTGAACATTTAATGAGCACCTACAGTGGACCTGACCCCATTTCAGGAGGTGCGGATACCGCAAAGAACCATCACATCTGTGCCCTCCTGGCATTCACAACTCTGGAAGAGACAGCATGCAAAGTGTAAGAGTGTCAGAGAGTGAGCGCTTCACAGAAACGTGCGGCAGGGCACACGACTAGAGTGTTACAGTGCTACTGACCCGTGAAAGGGCCTGGTGGTGTTCATTACACGGGAGACACTGCAGCCCTTGGCTCGGAGCCGGGCCTCTCCGCACGGATTCACAGCTGCTCTATCGATATTCTGGCCCAATAGACGCCACCTTCTTCCCTCTTGCCTCTCAGTCCCTTGGCCACAGCACACCAGTAAGGCACAGGCTTGCCAAGTCCTGCTGCTTGGTACCACAGAGAGGCTGTGGGCGGCAGGAACACTCGGGGGAGCTGTATGTGGGCCATGAAAGGAGCCCCTTCTTGGGCCCCCCATCCCTCAGGGAGCCAGGAGACAGTAAGTCCGGCTGCCCCCATGGGGAATCCCTAGGAAAGTAATCACAGCTCGTGCATGGCTGCCAGGAACCCCGCCCAGTCGAGGGAGAGAGACACCCATGGCGGTGCTGGTGCTGTGGCTTAGAAGGGGGACAATCACCTTCCCTGCGGGAGGCCTCATTACACAGGCTGCGGGGGGGCCCACTCTCCCTGACTTCCTGCCGCTGCCCCTTCCATGCCTCCCCCGGACTAGGGGCTCCACCCTGCTGCGGTGGGGAAATGGAGGCGCTGAGGCGGAGAGGAGATGTGTGCTGCACGCTGTGGCTTGAAGCTCTTCCCATAGCAGCCTGGCAGTGAATGGTGGATAATTTCATGATGCTATTAATGTGCTGCTTTGGAATTAAACAGGCTTTTCTCTCTAGCAGGCCTGGGACCCTGAACACCAGCCAAATTCTAAGGAGAACTCCCCGGGCTTGTGCTGGGAGACACTTCCAGCCCACCTGCATACCATGGGTTCCCCATGCTGGGTGCACCTCCCCTAGCCCCGGACGCGGGGTGTTCCGGCTCCCACACTTGTTTCCCTGCTGGCTGTTGAAGAAACACTGCCCGATCTGTCTGGGACAGAACGTCTGTGGGGCTGTAAACTGCAGTCCGCTTCCAGGGAGAATTAGTGCCCCTAATAACTGCTTAATTGATTGATTCATTTTAAAGAGATAAAGACTTGCTCTGGGAGTGTACTTGCGGGCCCAGTCAGCTGTGGGCCAGTCGTCTAGGACCCTTTACCAGACTTTCTGTCCCTGGAAGAACAGTGAATACCGTTATTTTCTCCCTATAAAAGTCTATGAGTAAATCTTTGAATTAGCCTGCTGAAAAAAATTTTTTTCTAGCTAGATTGTAATAAAACGTTGACATAAGCTCATAATTAAAGTTTTCTTTAGCATTGTTCAGTAGGCACGAGGTGGGGGGAACGTTTCTGAGCACGTAGTGATACATCCAGAGCTAAATTAGGGTCTAAAGAGGCCACAGGGAAGTAAGGCGCTGGCTAATGGGCAGAGCCGCCCAGGTGATGGCACCGCCCAGGGGAGGCGGGGCTTCACCCGTAGGGGCGGGCCCTGGGGCAGCCCGTCCTGGGCGTTTTGGAAAGGGCTCCTCCTCCTGGGGTCCAGGGCTGCTGCTGGGACTTTGGGGCTGGACTATGGGAACAGCAGTGTGGTTAGCAGACCAGAAGACAAGGGAAGGACTGGCTCCCAAAGTGGTGGGTTTGGTCTCGCCCACTGCTTCACAGGAAGCCTATGTGGAGGTCTTGGGGCAGAGGAGGGCTGGCCGCTGGTCCGAGGGGAGAGCAGGCGGCACAGAGCGTCTCCGCGGTGGGTGGGAACTCTGCAGCCAGCGGCACCTGTGGCGCCCCCGTGCCACCCTCTCGGAAGGGAGCTGGCACTGGAGGGCGGGATGAGGGCAGGGCCAGCTCTACCAGGACCCAGGACAGGCCCACTGTGATGAGTCTGTTATTACAGAAAACAGCCTGGGTCTGCAAGCTCAAGGTCCTGAGTTCAATCCCCGGTACCAAAAAAGAAAGAAAGAAAACAGAAAGCCTGGGCTTGGAGCGTGGTTGGGGAGGAGATGGGCTCTAGGACGTCCCACAGTCACAGTCACACACACACACACACACACACACTCTCTCTCTCTCTCTCTCTCTCTCTCTAGCTGTAAGTTGTAATTATGGACTAGCAATTGCAGTGATACCACAAAGTCAGCATTAAGTACATAGATGCTGCTGCCACCAAACAAGGGAAAGCAGACCAGCCGTGGGCTTCGGGGAACAGAAGTGAGTTGTGCCCCTGAGTCGGCCCCTTCCTCCCATGGTGCACGGGTGACAGCAGGTCTGGTGATGGTGAGGGAGGGCCGAGGCCTGTACGGCGAGACAGGTAGCCCTGCACAACTGGGGTAGTCTTCTAACTTGTGGGCTACGGTTCCTTCTTTCTTGCTTGGATGTTTGAAGAACTAAGGTCTCACGTGCTTGTGAACCTGCTTCTGTTACCTCTGCTAAGTAATCGTGCACTCCTCAGAGGTTTTCAGTGTCCCACGCTGGGTTCCTTGCTCACTGGCTTTCTCTGAGAGCTCACTCACCTAGGAATGGACTCAGATAGTGTCTTTCTCCCCAAGAGGCTGGCAGCTGGAAGTAGGGCCATCTGGTGAGGACAGAGGGGAGGCCAGGACCCCAGGGAAGAAAGGTGGGCTTCTCTAGTGGGCAGGGCAAAGTGAGCCAGAATGTTTCCAGTTATATCTCAGTGAAAGAATCTTTGGAGGCTCCAGTGCCGCCAGCTTTGAAAATCTACTTTCTGCAAGAACCATTCCTTTCACGTTGTTTATATCTCTGGGGGGAAAATTACATACAAAAGGGGCATTTCAATAGATTTCGGTGTTCTCAGCAAAGTGAGATGTTATTCGATTAAAAAGGTAATTTGTGCTCATGGACGAGCAATAAATATTTGTGGGAATGATTTTCAGTCTTGCTTTCCAACAAGTAAGTGGACTTGAGGAGGGTTTTGGGGAATTATTTTTGAAAGACTGAAATTAGCAGCTACAACCCCATCGCCTTCTACATTTATGTTGTAGAAAAAAAGTTGTTTATTTTCCTAGCCTATGAGGGAGCTGGCTTTATTTCCCTCTGGTGCCTGATTGCCTGGTGAAAAATAGGACAAAGGAATAACACAAAACACGAAGTATAGTCTTGGTTTTAAAAAGCAAACCAGAAAAGACAAGACTGTCAGTGTCTCTGCTCCTGGTAAACAACTTCTGAGCAGATTCTGATGGGAAAGCCCCATGCAGGAGGCTGGGGCCAGGGCATCGCCGTGACGTCTTCCCGGGATGCCAGTGTCTTTGCCTTACTTCAGGAAGTGCTGCAGCCCAGCACGAGGTACCACGCTTGGTCCAGGGCCGACTGGGCTCTGCGGGGTCAGTGTGGGCCCAGCAGGCCTCACCCCGACAGTGTCGCCACCTCAACCGTGCTTCTCAGTAGCTCAGGGTGGGATGCACCCAGACGAGCACCCAGAGAAGCCGTCAACAATGTAGGGCTATTTTCTTGTACCAGTTCCTTTTCACGTCAGTAGCAGCTCTTTAAAGAACCCAATACATGTAATCAAAGACCAAACAATCAAACGCCATAAATAATTCTGCTGAGAAACCCGGAGAGGCTTGGCAACTGCACCTTCTGCCACTGCCCCCACGAGCTCACGCACAGCTCTGCAGTTCCCTCTCCCTTTTTGTTCTCCCTGCCTGCCTTTGTCTCTGTTTCTAACACATTTTTTTTACTCCTTTGCAAGTTAATCACTGACTATTTCTCTAGCTTTCGAAAGCCCAAATGGAAATGTGGAGTTGCTTCAGGGTCCCACACAGGGGCAGTGAGGACGGAGACGGCCCCCAGGGTCTGGATCTCTCTGACTCGGGGACAGAAGTCTTGGAGGACGTCCTCTTCCTGACCTGGGTTCCGGCTGCAGTTCTAAGGATGCTTCCGTGAAAACAGGCAGCTCCTGCCTGGCTCGCCTGTCCTGCTGCTTGTTCTCATCTCTGAAATGAGGCTTCTCTGAGCTGACAGTTCAGTGGGGTGTCACACAGTTCACAGCTAAATGAACTCCCTGTTCTTGCCTACTTTCACTTGCTCATCCTCCTTGACCACTTTTGTAAGGGTACAAGTGAGAGACGCCATCCGGAAACACAAAGGGGAGAAATCGGATGGTGACATTTTGATGAACAATGGAATCTTAGGGGCTCTTCTGGAATGATTGTTTTAAATGATTTTTTCCAAAAAGGATTAGATTTAGATACATTTCCAATACAGCTTTTAAGACTCTCTACGGCCCTTCCTAGGGAGAATCATGAAAACATCTGAGCATAAACAAAAACGTTGCACCATGCTGGGTGCTTTATTTGGCACAATTAGGAGAGGGGCGGGTGGGCGCTATCACTGCGTATGACTGGTCTAATGGAAGACAGAAGCCCTGCGTGCTGCCCTGCGGTACCCACAGGGTGTCCTTCCTGACTGGCCCCCCGCAGATATGGATCAGCACCATCTTACCCGTTTGGTGAGCTGTGTGTCCATCATGAAGTTGTGAACGTGCTTCTCCGCTTTGGTGAGCTCCAGCTTCCGGGCCACCACAGCCACCACAAGGGCAGTGCAGCCTGCACCCTGGGGGAGGACATCGGGAGGGCCAGAGGGAGAGAGGACGTCAGTGAGAGGCAAGGCGCAACTCAGCGTGCCCCACGCCGAAGACACCGGCTCTGCGGCTGGTCAAGCCCAAGGCACATGGGCTGTCAAAGCTTGCGGGGGCCCTGATGTCCCCACAAAAGACGGGATCTGCAATACTTGTGCCCTTTATTGGTTCTTACTGCTGTATGGGGCTGAGACCTTGGGACGTTGAACTAACAATCCCAGGTCCCCTGCCAGGCTGTGCGACAGCAGGGGCCAGGAGGTCCAGCACACACGGACGCTCCCTGCCCCACGTGTGTCCCAAGCCCACTGCCAGCCCCAGCCCATGGGCCCAGGACAGCAGGCTGGGCACTCACTGCGGGATGGACCCAAAACCAAGGGAGGCTGAGTTTCCCTGCAAATAACTGAATGAGGAACAACGTGCTTTCCTCCAAGCTCCAAGCAGAGGGAGCACTGCCTGGCACTCAACAGCCACCGGTGCCATAGCTGCATCTTTTTACCTGAAGGCCTAGGCTGTGACACAAACAGGAAGCCAAGACCCTCGGGAGTTCCCAGAATATCAAGGCACAGTAGGTCCCTTATAGGAGAGCATGGCAGAGGGCAGGCCAAGAAGCAGGGTCCAGCTGGGCCTCCCAGTGGCCAGGTCAGGCTCTCTCCTAACCCTCTGGGGTGGGAGAGTGGCCCACCCCAAGGGTTCCACGTGGCCACTCCCATCCTCTTCCTGGGCCCCTCAGTTGGCCCGGAGCGGGGGGCACCCTCTTTCCTAGTTCTGCCCTGGTCGTGACCAGCAGCCCTGTCCTTGGCAGGAGAGGACTCCTCACAGCCTGTCACCCTCTTCCTGTAACAGGGACCACCCTGACTGCCACTTACGGAAAGAGATGATGAACTCATCAAAGCCAACCGTGGGATCCTCTGGTTGCCAAACAGTCAGCACCGTTTTAACAATAAAAACAGCGCAGTTGAGTAGCACCAGGACGCAATATTGAAGAAATCCATCAGTTACACTGTTGGTTATCAGGCCTTCAAAACGGGTGTGAGGTGGACAAGAGTCCTTTTCAGAGTTCCTGTAAGGCACCAGAGCTGGCAGGGATAGCTCAGTCCCTGGGCTGTCCTTGACACCCTTTCTCTCTTTTCCCATGGCCTGTGTGCAGCCTTGGCATGGTTAAAGTTGAGGCTTTCTCCTGATTTTCCACAAGGGTTTCCATTAAAACAATTGAGTGTTTGCTGATACATTTGGTAGCCACCCATTCTGAGCAGAGCAACATGAAAAGAACTGGGTCTGTGTGAACTTCCTTTTCTGACCTCATTTTCCTCTTTTGTCTGAGGAAAGCTATGTTTCCTTGGCATCTGTGACTCACAGGAGATTCTGTGCCCAATCTTCAGAGAATGCGGGCAGTTGGACAGCCTGGTCTATAGCTACAATCAATTTAGCCAGGTCTCCAAAATTAAAAAAAAAAAAGCTTAAAAGAAGCTGTCCTGGAGGAAGATGTGCACTTGTCCCCTGCCTCTGTATGGAGTTCCAAAAGTACACTGGGATCAAAGTCCGCAGAGAGGGGCAGATCAGCGTTTAAAACGGATGTCCTACCCAGAGGATTCTCCCTGGCTCTGTTCTCCCTCACTGCCCTATGACACCTCGTTTACATCATCCCGAAGGCTGGGGTGCAACAGCCAGAATCTCCCTCCTCACGGCCGCCTCAGGCTTTGATCACCCACATCTAGCTGGCTGGACGCAGGCGGCTTCTAATTAGAAGCTACAGTGCTTGAACTAAAGAACCATTCGTCTCCTGTGAGAAAGATACATTTTGCGTGGAGCCTGGAAGGTGGACCAGACTGTATCTCCCAACTTCTCGGAACTTAAGAATGTCGGGATTCCCTTAGGGCTGTTTCTCTGGACGCTGCTGCCTTCTTGACCCCTGATTCCAACTTGAATAGATGGCGGCAGAGCCTCTCAGTTTGCTTTTCTTTTAGATAACCTGACATCTGTCTGTAGTTAGGAAAGGCGCCGACAGTGACGCCTATCCAGGTCATTTCCAGGGACAAGGACCGAGTCAGAGCTTGGTGAGCTTCAGACAGCGGTGGGAGCGCTGAGGTCCAGGCTGTGTGCGCTGGGTGGGGATGAGGGGCTGCAGGGATGACAGGAGGGGAAGGAAAGGGAACGAGGTGGGGTGCCGCGGGCTAAACAGCAAAGGCCAGGAGATGGACGAGGAGGAGGAAGCTGCGGACTAAGGAAAGAGGGGCGGGCGGATGGGACTGAGAGGGAGGAGGGAGGGACAGGAGCGCAAGATGAGGACCCTTTGAAGGGAGCAGAGGAAAATGAAGACCACGTCTCCAAGCTCCTTTCGGAGCGATGGCTTCCACTTCAGGTGGAGCTCATCTCTCCGCAGGGCCCCGGCAGCCGCTGCGGTGTCGGTGTGACGCCGTGACATTTCCTGAGACAAAGTGACAGGACCGACCAGGCGCCCTGTAGCCCACCTGGATTCTGCGCATGGCTGGGGGACAGAGGGCTGGCGAGGGGGGACACACTGGGACAGGAGAGGTGGGAGCTCTGACACGCGCCCCGGGTCAGCTGGGTGAGCTGTCGCTTGGCCCTCCTGCCCCGGGCTGGGCCACGGCCTGAACCGCGGTGGACAGCAACTGGCCCGAGCCTGCTCCGCCTGCCCGATTCCCACGACGGGGGCGGTGGGGCGGGACGGCCTCCGAGTCAGTCACCCCAAGGCGTTGGCAGGCAACAGGTGGCCAGCGGACTGCCCAGGGCATCGCAGGCCGACCCAGACCTGCCCAACCCCTGCACAGCCATCCTCCCCCATCTTGTTTCCAAGAAACATTTCCAGCTGGAAAATCTTAGAAGCTGGAAAAACAAGGATCCCAAGGGGAATAGTATGAGATGTTCTTAACTAAAGAAGCATAAAATAAAACAAAACATAAATGAAAGTGACAAATGGAGGAGAGAAGCCCGGAGGACTTATAGTTGGATTCTGTTGCTGCAAAGGATTCCACATAACAACTAAACTAACATCAGCCGGCCAGAGACCAAGGTGCTTCGGGAGCGGTGTGGCCCACAGTGACACTAAGCAGATCTGGTCAGCTCTCGGCGCTCCTCACACTGCGACGAAACGGGCACTACCTCTCCCTCAGCCTCGCTTCGCCTGCTGGTCTGAAGCTCCGGAAGGCTCCAGAGCCCGGCCCGCTTGAGGACGTGGCTCATCTGAAAAGCAGCCACCAGCCGGCAGACGCAGGGCCCGACGGCCTCCCAGACGTCTGGAGGATCAGTGGCCACAGTTTCGTGCGCAGTTCTGATTCAGGGCACCACAGAAGGCCAGCTGTCCCTGTCCGGCATCACGAAGCATCCTGAAAAGTCCGCATGCAGACACTGGATGGGGCGGTGCCCGTGCTCTGGGTGAGGCCTCTCAACACAGCAGGCCTGCGCCAGCAATGTCAGGCTGTCCAGACAATTACACACCCTGCCTAATGGCTGCTAATTACACCGTGACTGGGATTGCCAAGAGAAAACAATGATTAAGACGGTTCGCAGCCTGCACACACAAATCCTTCCTCTCCCTTCCCCGGCAGGCCTCGCCTTGGCCTTCGCGGTGTCCATGGCAACCACACAGGAAGCCCTGCCTTCCGTCAAGGCACTCCAAGCAGCGATGAGAAGATGGTGCACGGTGTGCACCTCCCAGGGGATGAGTCAGCGGCAGAGTAACACTGGGTGCAACCACCGGTCCCCAGCAAGGGGCTGCCTGGCGGGGAAGGCCGCAGGGGCCTGCAGACTGAGGGCGCACGCCGGGAGGCCGGTCCGCGCAGAAGGTGAGGTCAGGGCCACGCGAGGTGGGCAACGGCTCCCTCGCCGGTCTGTCCTGCCTCGGTCCACACGGAGTGGACACGCCCTTCCAGGGGCACTGTGGACCTCGAAGCAAAGGGTGCTGCAGGGCAGGCTGGTCCCACAGGTACCACTCTGCTGTCAGAGATGCGGCCAGGAACTGGGGACCCCACAGCGACAACGGCTTGAATTCAAAGGTCTCAGCGCCTCCCTGCTGGAGCAGCCCAAAGCCCGGGCCCTGGAGTGGCTCTCAGAAGGCAGGCTTTGGCCTTCCAGTGGCATTTCGTCCCTTTCTGGCAGGGAGAAGCCTTCCGTTTCCTGGCGACAGCTGGAGCCATGCCAGCCCCTAATGGACAGGAGGCGCTTCTCCTACCGCCCAGGCCACTCTGTCTGCATCTGGGGGAGGAGCACCGCCTCGGATGGGCCTCCTCCCCCTGGGCAGCTGAGGGAGGTGACCTGTCCTCCACACGAGCCCTGAGGCCACCAGGCTGAGCATAGTGGGGATGGGGGGGCGGCCTGGGGAGGCCCTGGAGGAGGGAGTCACTGTCCTCACAGCAGGAAGAGGGTCTGTCCCACGCCAAGAACACAGAGGGGAGGTAGGGAGGGGAGGGCACAGCGCAGTTGGGTGCAGACGAAGCCCCGGGGAGGCCTGCAGTGGCGGCTGTGAGCACCGCACCGCCTCCACCCTCAGCCAGGCCTCCAAGGTGCCTTCCCTTTGAGTGTTTGCTTCTTCTTCTGAAAAGAACATCTCCCTGCTCTCACACCGTGCTCATCCTAGGAATCCAGGATGGGCACAGAGCAGCGCCCCCCATCCCACACCCAGGGCACAGCAAAGCCAAAGGGGAGAAATGGGGGGCACAGAGGAGGCCACCAGTACTGGCCCTGTGCACTTGTGCGCCATGAACTTCCACGTAAACCGTGTGCTGGGCCTTGAGGGGCAGTGAGCAGGGTGGCAGAGGGAGGACACAGTACACCTGCCGGGCATGGGGTGGGCTTGTCCTGCGAGGGCCAGCGCTGGGTGGGACTTGGCTCTCGGGCCCAGCACCTTGCTACGTTGGAGCCTGGGACTGGCAAGAGCTGGGTGGTCAGGACCCAGCAGCCTAGGACCTGTTGGGGACATAGCTCTTTCCCCAGCCCCTGCCTCTTTGAGTTCCAGCTAAACTTGCCATGGTCCTGGGGACGGGTGGAGCCCTGAGGCCACAGAGGTGACTAAGGGTCTGACTGGTCACCAGCTTCCCCACACGTGCTGGGCAGGCAGGAAACAGACTAGCAACTGCCAGAACAGGTGCCTCACTCGTGCCTCGCAAAAGAAGCTGAAAAGGAAAACCCACTGTAGAGTTCACATCTTCATTGTTTTTTTGGTGGGGGGTACTGGGCCTCAAACACGGGCCCTTACATTTGTGAGGCACGTGGCGGAACCACTGAGCCAGATCCTCTGCTGTTTTGTTTTGGTGGTGATACTGGGCCTTTGCACTGAGCTACATTTCCAGCTCTTTTTTTATCTTTTATTTTGCGACTAGTGAGTAGCTACGAGCTACTTGTCCAGCCTGGGCTCAAACTTGCAACCCTCCGCCTCTGCTCCCAGAGCGCTGGGGTTATAGGTGCGCGCCCCACAGGGGGATGTGCCCAGGCCGGCGGGGAGAGCCCTGCTGTCAGTGCACGGGGCGGGGTCCCGGGCGGGCGGTACTCACCATGATGCCAGTGAGAAGGCAGACGCCCTTCCCACAGTAGGTGTGGGGCACCATATCCCCGTAGCCGATGGAAAGGAATGTGATGGAGATGAGCCACATGGCGCCCAGAAAGTTGCTGGTCACATCCTGCTGGTCATGGTACCTGCCGAGGGAAGACGGGAGTCAGCGGGATTCGCTGGTGCAGCCCGGGGCACAGGCTGTGCACAAACCCGGACGGGGAAGGCAACGAGGGGTTTTGCTGGGGAGGATGCAGCAGCAGTGGCAGCACACAGAGATAACTTCCTTCCCCTCCTCCTCTCCCTCCCTCCCTTCTTTCCTTCATGTTTTTCTTTTTGCAGTACTGGGGATCGAACCCACGGCCTTCACACTGAGCTGCTTCCCCAGCCCTTTTTAAAATTTTGAGACAGAGTGTCAATAAGTCACTAAGTTCTCCAGGCTGAGCTTGAACTTGTGATCCTCCTGCCTCAGCCTCCCAGAGTGCCGGGACTGCAGGAAAGCACCACCATGCCTGCCTCACAGATTCCTTTAGAGGGTACAAGGTGGCGGCCACGCCAATCCAGCCCTGCCTGCAGCTTCCATCCAGCCAGGGCCCTGCCACAGCTGAGCCCAGAGGGAAAGCCTGCTTTGCCCCACACCACGGCCATTCTTTCAGTGCTGGCGAGACGACTTTGGATGAAATCATGCAGTCATGAAATTTAAATTTTCCCTTCTCGGCCGAAAGTCTAAATGTACGTGACGTGATTTTTCTGAAATTGCAAGCTCCACAACAGAGAAACTGTCAAAAAGAAAACCACTTTACCCATTTAAGGAAGCAGACGGGCCGGCTGGCCCCCCAAGTCTGCCCAGGAGCCCCCAGGCCACAGGGGCGCCGTCTCCTCTGTGGGCTAGACAGGGCAGCAGCTGGCAGGATGGCAATTCCACGGTCCTCTGCCTCAGCCCTGCTCGCCTTCTCCCCAGGTCAGCCCCGTGGGTGGGCACCAGAAGGGGCTGGCAGTGACCTCGGTCCCAGCTATGGGGGCAGTCAGAGCCGGGGTGACCGAATCAAGATGCCGCAGTGTGGCAGTGAGGAGAGGCGCCCAGTGCCCAGGCCTCGAGGCCCCGCCTCCCGGGACGGCATTATGGCCCTTTAATTCTGTTTACTTATTTGGTTTTGCTAAATTGCCCGGCCCAGCCTCCAGCCCATCCCTCCTGCCTCTGCTTCCCCAGCAGCCACCTGAGCACAGACTGGGCGGCCACACCTGGTTTATAGCCTGTTACCACGGTACACTCTTTTCTTAGTGTACTTTGCCATACAGAATGGTGATGTTCCTTTTGGGGTACTGGTACAGGCAGATCACAAACCTTGATCGTTTTCTTCCCCTCCCTCTGGTCCCCTTCCCATCTCCAAAGTCTGCCTGTTTCCTACCAGCCCTCTTATTCGTTTATTTAAATATTTCCCATAGAAGAGAAATCATGCAATACTTAACTTCTGAGCCTGACCTTTCTTTAGCATTAAGTTCCATCCATTTTTTGCAAACGACAGGATTTCATTCTTATTTGTGGCTGAGTAGTGCTCCACTGTGCACAAATGCCACATTTCCTTTATCCATTTGGCAGCTGACGGATACGCAGCTGTTTCCAGAGCGAGGCTGTTGTGAGCTGCGCTGTGTCACGTGCGCAGGCAGGAGTGCGTCGCTGTAGCAGGCTGCCTCTAATTCCTCTGGGGGTGCACCCTCAGCCTTCGGAGGGCTCTCCACACGGACTTCCACAGTGGTTGTACGAGTTACACTCTCACTAGCCATGTAAAAGGCTTCTTCCTTTCCCCACAGCCTTGCCAGTATTTGTTGTCGTTGGATTTCTTGACGATGGCCATTCTATCTGTGTTGCTGATTTGCATCTCTCCAGGGGCCAGCGATGTTGAGCACTGCTTTACAGCCCTTTACACAGAGGCCTCCTGCGGCCGCTGCTCCTTTCGCCCTGCACCATGGGTGCCATGCCGGAGGCACCTTCATCCTGCTCTCCCAACCTCTGGAACTGTGAAAAATAAGCCTCTGTTCTTATACCTTCCCTAGGTGGCGGCAGTCTGAGACAGCACCACCAGCAGCCAAAACAGTTCCGCCAAAGAGCAAGATGGCGCTGTCCCAGGAACCAGCGGGAGAGGGCGCCCCGGAGAGCCCAGGCCCAGCCCTGGGTGGCCTGGCTGCGGCCTGGGGTGCAGCCTTCAGGACAGAGTCCCCCAAACGACACCAACGGGCTGCGTTTGTCTTGGAGGTCACCGCTCCTCGAGAAAAGCCCAGCGCTTGGTCAGCCTCGGGAGGCCCTGGGAGGAGGCCGAGGCAGGGCTAGGGAGAGCAGAAGGTGGGGCCCGGGAGGTGACACGCGTGGGACAGGCCTGGGGCTCGGGTAAGCACCGCGGCTCTTGTCAGTGTCCTCTTCCCTCGGGCGGCCACTCTCCTCCCCGTCCCTGGTAGGTGGGCAGGGACAGCTGCAGGGCGTGTACCTGGGGATGGGAGTGGAGGGAAAACAGGCAGGTGTTGCCCGCCTTGGGAAATACCAGGAGCACTGCACAGTGACCCCACTTATCAAGCACGGACTGTGTGGCTGACATCTTGAGCTGAAACACTCTAATTCCATCCCGCAGGAAGTCCAGAGATGTTGAGTGACTTGCCCAAGTCACACAGGAAGGAGCCAAAGCGACACCCGGGCTCCTTTCTCTACTCCACTAGCATTAGAGAGGCAGGAGCAGCTGGCGTGTGTCTCAGGGAAAGGTGGGGATGTTTTAGTGAGAGGGATTGTATGGCTCAATCCCAAGGCCTCCAAAAGGCTCGAGTGTTCAGAACCCGGCCTTGGAGAGGTGACTGGATCATGGGGCGCTAACCTCAGTAGGGGACTCATCCCCTGATGAGTTCACGGCTGAACGTGCTGTTAGGAGGTGGGGCCAGGCTGGAGGTGGCTGCTGGAGATGTGACCAAGGGTCACCTTCTCTCTGGTTCTTCCTGCCTGCTGTGCTTCCTGGCTGCCGTGGGTTGAGCCACTTTCTCTGCCACACCCTTCCACCATACGTGCTGCCTTGGAGCTGGCGACTATGGACTGAAACCCTGAAACCGTGAGCCTATAGGAAACCTCTCTCCTTTAGGTTGTGCATGTCAGGCCCTCGGTTCCAGTGATGAAAGCTGGGCTCCGGTAACAGGCGATGAGCTAGCTTTGGAGACCAGTGGGTTCCAGTGTTGGAGGGCCTGGAATTCTAGGAGTGGAAGTTTGATTTCAGTCTTAGAGTCCTTGGAAGTAACTCAACTCCTGAGCAGGAAGGCGGCATGGCTCTCGGGGAGGAACAGTCTGCAGGCGGTGAGGTGACCCAGCAGGAGCGCAAAGGCAGGAAAGGGCAGGCAGCAGCTGACACCCAGCCCGGCCCTCGTCAGCTGGGGCTCATCCAGCCCATGTGCATCCTTGACTGCAGTGAGATGGGGTGGTGCCAGCCTTTCTGTCACTGTCTGCAAGAAGGCAGGGGTGCCTGGTGCTTGTGGGGCAGCTAAAAGTGTTGCTGGGACAGTGGCTTTACCTGCCTCCGCCTCTCTGCTCCACCCTGGGGCCCTAGTTTCCCCAGGGCTGGCCTAGGTCAGCCCCTCTGGCTGTCCTGGAGGAGTACGGCGCCCAACACTGACCCCTGTGGCCATCCTGCTCACCTGCCCTGCTGGGCGCAGGCTGTGCCCCAGCACCCGCATGCCAATGGCAATGGTGACAAAGGTGCACTCCAAGCAGGACCCCAGGACCTGGCTCAGTGGGCAAGCGGGGCCCCAGGGTCCAGTTCCAGCTCTGCCTGAAGGAGGCCCAGGGCCCTGGACGAGGGACTTCACCTCTCCGTGACTCAGTTTCCTTTATGCTAGTGGAAGATGAAGTGCAGCACAGAAGCAATGTTTGGCCCAGAGCAGCACATGCGCAGGCGGCTCCACATGCTGGCCTTGACAGGGCCGCTGTCGGTGCCCAAGAAAGGGTGCGTGGGGCGGCTGCGGACAAGCGGTGCAGAGCCCCTCAGGGTGAGGCTTCCACAAAGTCCTCAAGTTTAGGCTGCAGAAGTTTTGAGGTTTTTTTTAAGACAGTACCAGGGATTGAACCCAGGGCTTTTGTTTGTACTGAGCTACACGACTAGTCCTTTTTTAATTTTTAATTTTGAGACACAGTCTCACTAAGTGTCTGTGTTGCCCAGGTTGAACTAGAAGTTGCAAACTTCCTGCCTCAGCCTCATGAACTGCTGGGATTATAATTAAGTGTGCATCACTATAGGTGGCAGAGCTATTTGATATAGGGACAAAAAGAAAGGGCACAAGACACTCAGTGTCCAACAGTTATTCTTCTAGTAGCTAGACGCAGTCTGAAGAGGTCAGGCCCCAGGTGGGGAGGGCCTCAAATGCCGAACAGGAGGTCTGGGTTTAATTTGTAGCCTGTCTTCGTGTATACTACATTATCAGCGTGCTTTGCACATGGGTCTCCATGGTCCTCCTTTCTTGGAAAATTCTGCATCTTGGGCCAGGGATTTAGCTCAGGGGTGCCGCGCCTGCCTCACTAGTGCAAGGTCTTGAGTTCTATCCCCGGAGGAGAAAAAAGAAAGAAAAAGAAAGTTCTGCACTTTAGACCAGGGTCCCCTGGGTGCCTGGTGCTCCGCGGTCATGGCCACCCTAGTCCTCTGTGAGCAGACTCTGAAGCAGAGGTTAGAGACTGAGTGGAAGCAAATAAAAAGCATGGAAAAGCTCCTTCTAAAGATGATGTCTGAATTACTGCTTCTGGGGGGTAAATTCCCTTCTTTTTCACCGGCCACACAAAGCCCTGTTGGTTCCTTGTGAAAAGAGAAGTGGTCTTGAGAGCCACACAGGCCCTGGCCATCCGCCTTCGGTGACTCCTCTGTGGGGGCTGGGAAGAGGCTGTGACTGGGATGGGTCCCCACTTCACGCCGCAGCGTCCCCATGGAGACAGAGATGCAGCTCACCAGCAGGAAGTAACGCGGGGAAAGCTGGGTGGTGACTCAGGACCGTGGGAGTAGAGGGGAGGGAGGACACGCTTCTAAACCTATTCACGCTTTTAGAGTGGTTTACACATGTCACAAATTCACCAACTAATCTCACACTGTTTCCTGCAATGGAGATTTTTGCGGGGGGAGGAATAATTTCA